TATATAATGTCTGTTACATGCCTCTTGTTAGCATCACTAATTTTAATGCAAACAAATAGTATAATAAATATCTACTTTTAAAAATTAGCATTTAATTATGCTAAATTATGCTAAATAGTTACTAAAATCCAAAACCTAAATTAATGAATAATATCTGTAACTGATGTCTCTAGAAACATCTAAGGGTATGTAACTAAGATATAAAATGTTATTGGCCACTCAGTATGTTAGAATTAACTAGTACTGTTCGTAAGTCTTTAAATACTGAAACTTAGGTTAGAGTATTTATAAATGCATGACCCATAATAGCCACAGAACGTTCATGTGAAATCAAGATGTTTTTGAGAACTGGATAAGTCTGGTATAGTCAAATGCATCAACACGTATTTATTGAAAATATACCAGACACTGTTTCAGGGAATGGGGATCCACCAGTAAAAATAAGAAATCTCTCAGTTTAAATTCTGTTGGAGCAAGTTGGATAATAGCAAGTATTGCAAGTAATTTGATAGTTGCAAATGCAGAAAAGGATTCTTGGTGATTATAAAGTGGGATGAGTCTGAATGGGAATAGCTGAAGGCAGGGAGAGAAGAGCAGAGGTTGATCATGTGTCCTGAAAGCTTTAGAATATGAACCCTTGGAGTGGAACACCATGGGGCCATGTGCAGTGAGAGCACTCAGCTTAGACAGTGGAACAGACAGAAAAGAATCTGATAAGTGAGCAAATGGTGAGAGTAAATGGTGAAACGTTTGAGCAGCCTGCAAAATGGTAGTACGAGAAAATGAAATTTAGAAAGAGCAAGACAAGAGAAGACAGAAAGGCAGGCAAGAATCAGACAATAAAGTTCAGTATCTCACAGGTTGCCTTACTGAGGTGGATTGTTGTCTTTTTTTTTTCTCTTGTTTTGTTTGTCTCAAGTGTTTTTAGAAACATAATAGAGACATTGTGTGGGAAGCTGCAGGGATTGATTTGCAACTGTTTACATTTAAAGAGAGGGTATTTGGTAGAAAAAAGCAAATGATAAGAGTGGAGCACAAGTTTGAGGGCAGTTTCTGGGGTTTAGAGTTGACAGTGGAGGAGAAGGGCAAAGGGCAAAATGGTGAATGTTGCAGTGCACAAGACACTTTGTGCTGTCACACAAAGAATCGTCTAGAATGGATGTACTGTTTCACCAGAAGAATTGGTTAGGGCACCTAACCATACAGACAGGTAGTCATAGCCAGAAAAGATTCAAAAATCCTAGTTTAAAGTTAGAATGAATGGGTCAGAGGTAAAGTGCCTGGCATGTGGTTGTCTTCAGTTCACCTCAGGACCACACCTGCTCCCCCTAGAGCATGTCTAGATGTGACTGCTGAAGACAGAGCCATGAACATAGCCTCTGAGCACCACTGGGCTGCCCCTCCCCCCATTATTTAAAAAGCCTAGAATGAAAACATGAATGATATTTTTTAGAGAATTCACACACACACACACACACACACACACACACACACACACACACACACACACACAGCAATCGTCTATCTTTATTAAGCACCGTTTTGGGGGTGCTCATGGGTGAGGAGGTTGGGCCACACCAGACTACACTTTGGGCCTGCTCCTGAAACTGCTCGGGAGTGACCCCTAGTGGTACTCAAGGGAATCTTATGGGGTGCTGCAGCTTCAAACCAGGGATGTGGCCAGTTGGAGCCACATGCAAGGCAAGTGTCTTGCTTCCCAGCTATCTTCCCAGCTCCCGAAGCACTCTCTTTGTTTTGTAGGAGTCAAGCAAACAAACTTCAGAAACATGAGTTATCCTGTCTTTTTTTTTTAGTCTTAAGCTATGTCTTATCTTCTTGAGCCCAAATCACCAAAATGCTAGTTTTCAATAGACTGTCTGTATGACATTATGATAGGCAGAGCAATTTAAGGTTACCACTGTGATAGCACACACAATTTTGTGTTTGGAATAGTGAGAATTCATCGATCACTCTGAGCTCTTTGCTGCTGTGTCTCTAGATCAGTGACTTTCTGTCTTGCAGGGGCGGGTTTAGGAGAGTCTCATCATCATTATGTGATTTTTCCCACAGTCTTCCTCTTTCATTCCACTTTACACATACATACCTGTCCATTGGTTAGTGTGGGTATAGCAACTTATGGAGAGTGAAATTAATTCAGTACTTTCCAAACATGGTGGTTTCATGATTTAGATTCTATAGATTTAAATACAGAGTAATAAATACCAGATAATAGGAATTTTGTGATTTAGAGCAACAGCCTTCACCTTCCTGAGCTTGCTTGTCTTATTTGTTTGGGAGACAGACCCGGCTGTGACTTGGATTTACTCCAGTTTCTGTGCTCAGGAATCACTCCTAGTGGGGCTCCAAACTAGATATATGGTACTGAAGATTGAACACAGGTCAACAGAATGCAAGGGAAGTACCTTGTCTCTCCAATCTAGAGTCTGCTTATCATTTGAAGAATGCCATGTGCTAAGGCACGCCAACCAGCTTAATCCTGAAGCTGCTTTCCAGCGAAGGAGATAGAGTCTGGATGAAAAAACTTACAGTTAGTATAGAACCCAGGTCTTATAAGTGCTCATTGAATTACAATTCTACTTGCAAGTAAATTTTCACCCCTCTCTATTCAGTCATTTCACAATTCAGTATTTCCCCTTCCTTGCTGTTAATTGTGTGCTCACTGAAGGTTGTGCACACTTGATTATGGTAATCATTGAGATGGTACTCATCTGGTTGTGATGCTCACACACACACACACACACACAGCTGCAATGCTTGTTGGGAAACACCTGCAGCCGTCACACACTTGCTTGACATCACTCATTCAGTTGTGGTGCTTGCTTACATTCTGGTGATAAAGCTCTCTGGGGGCCATTGAGGTATTAATGCACACACTCAGCAGGTATTAGCATTCTCAGCTGTGATGCTTGTACAATGCTTGTACAGCTTTAGTTCTAGTGCTTAGTGGGATTTCCACATCTTAATTGTGATTGCGTGTACCTGATGGATGCTCCTGGGATCATACGCTGTTTCAGTACTGGAGGTGCCAGAAGAGTGGTTGGTACATGTGGATGGCACTGGAGACTGAACTCAAGATCTCACATTTATAAGGCTGGCCCTTGTTGTCACTGAGTCATTCCTGAATATCTGTATTTTAAGAGCAGAGGAATTCAAGTCAGACTGCCTGGATTTAAATTGTACCCTTACCGGATGTAAGCTTTGTGATAATGAATATATTTTTGAACCTCTGTTTCCTTAACCATACACTAGGAGAGAGAGAGAGAGAGAGAGAGAGAGAGAGAGAGAGAGAGAGAGAGAGAGAGAGAGAGAGAGAGAGAGAGAGAGAGCAGGAAGGAGAAAAGCTTCTTGCCTCAGTGGCTACAACACTGGTTTGAATTTCCAGCATGTCAGTATTACATGTGGTTTCTGGGGTCACTTTTAAGCAGAACCAGTAATGGTCCCTGAACACCAATGGGTGTGATCCCAGGCCTCTACCCAAATAAATATAAATTCTGTTGGATTATAGTGAGGTTTAAAGAGCATAAATTGTAAGTTACAGAAGTATACAGCATAGGAAAATGTGTGGGCCTGGGGAGATAATCAGAGTAGTGAAATTTACTGCTTTTGTGGGTGAGGCTCTTGGTTAGATAACAGGCACTGTCTGTCCTCAGAGAACCTTCAGGTGTAGCCCTGGTGGCTAACAAGCTCCATCAGAGTGACCCCAACTCCAAATTATTAGCCTCTCACTCAGGAACAGAGGGAGTGTTTCTTGGGCCCCTAAGCAACATTGAGGAGGCACACAACTTTAAAAAATAGGGACCAGAGTGACAGTACAATGGGTAAGGCATTTTCCTTGCAGAAGGCTGACCTGGGTACTATCCCCAGCACCAGATATGGTCTCTCCAGCCTGCCAGGAGTAATCCCTGAGGTCAGAGCCAGAAGGAAGCCCTATACACCACCAGGTGTGGCTCCAGAATAGAAAGTAAATAAGTCTACGCAAGTACAATGTGTGCACATATATGTATTGTTTCATAGGTTTAAAATTCTAAGCAATAGTTGTCTCAATTTTTTGTTTTCAAATTGTATTTATAGTCTAACAGATTATGCCTACCTTGTATATTTGTTCTTTTGCATAAATCAGATGAATTTGCATAATCTGTATCAAGGATTTTTTTTTAAATGAGTAGGTAGATTAGTCTATCAGTTTCAGTATTGAATGGAAAACTTTCAATATCTTGATCGATGTACATAAGTATATTTACTTATTCAGGACCTCAGAATGATTTTCAGTAGTTTTATTCTTTTCTGAGAAATTTCAAAATATCCAAATAGTTGTCAAATCTATTTTATTTTGAATCGAATATATTACTGTTTTTCCCTGAATTGTTTCCATTCTTTTTTATAATTTTATTTGCTAAATCTTATTTTCAAATCAGTTTATCTTTCAGCCCCACTCTGATCAAAACAATACTGCCAACAAGTAAAAGCTACTATTAAATAGAGAATATTTAATTCTCTATTTAATAGAGAATACTTATTTTAAAAGAGGCTATTTAATTCTCTATTTAATATCATTCTACACCACTGGGACAGGTGATAGGATCCAAAGTACTCAAGCATGTACTTTGCATGCATTCAGGTTTGATACCTAGAACACATGGTCCCCCAAGCACTGTTCTGCCCCTCCCTCTCACCCCCCCCACACCCCACGTACAAGATGTATGGTTTAATTTTCAAATAGAATTTTCTGGGTATTTCATTTTTCACTAATTCTTGTTATCACTCCTCCTATAATAATTCTCAATATTATTTGCCATTCATTAGTCTTTAACAACTAGCCAGTTATGCAAGAGAAAATCTGTGGTACTGATGCGGTTTATTACCTTATTTTAATTCTGTTGGTAGTATCGCTTTTATTTTTGACATTAATCTAGTTATACACTATTTCCACTATCTGAACTTTACCTGGTTGTATACCTGGGCTTTGTTTCATTTTATAGCTGGCTTAAGTCCTGCTGAGATTCAGCAGCTGTGGAAAGAAGTGACTGGAGTTCACAGTATGGAAGACAATGCCATTAAACATGGAGGGCTAGACCTCACTACTAACAACTCCTCCTCGACTACCTCCTCCACCACTTCCAAAGCATCACCACCAATAACCCATCATTCCATAGTGAATGGACAGTCTTCTGTTCTAAATGCTAGGCGAGACAGGTAATTCTCATGAGACTTATTTTTCTGTTACTGTCACTGTTGATAAAGCAAAATAATCACTGATACTTCATAGAGGCAAAAATTTAGAATAACAAATGAAATAGAAATGTTTGTGTTATCTTATATACCATTTTTATTTGCAATAAACTGTTCAGGTCATCAGTTTGATGGATTCAGTGGGGAATTTAACTGAAGGTAGTTACATTTTCAAAGATGTATGTAGATTTGTTTTGTCAATATATTTCTATGAATAAGATGTTATAATCAATCTGGTTGCTTGGAAATTTTTTTTATATTTTACAACTTTAGAATCAGTTTCAAATAACTAAAGATGCACTCATATCCACCTGATTTTCTGTTTCAAACATGTACTTAAAAATCAGAGAATAGAGCCCGAGCGATAGTGCAGCGTGTAGGGCATTTTTCTTGCACAGAGCCGACCTGGGTTCAATCCCCAGCATCCCATATGGCCCCCCAAGCACTTCCAGGAATAATTCCTGAGCACAGGGCCAGTAGTAACCCCTGAGCATTGCTGGATGTGACGCCTTCAAAAAAAAAGAGCAAAAAAAATCAGAGAACAGAAATAAAGAAACATAAAAACAAATATAAATCAGAGAAACATTATTTGGTTTATTAATTTTATTGTGGATTGATGGAATTTACAAGTTCATAAAAGTAAATTTGAGCCAGAGCAATTGAACAGCAGGTGAGGCATTTGCCTTGCACACAGCCAACCCAGGTTTAATCCCCAGCATCTCATATGGTCCCCTGAGCACCACCAGGATTAATTCCTAAGTGAAGAAACAGGAGTAATCCCTGAACATTGCCAGGTGTGACCCAAAAAAGCAAAAAAAGGAAAAGTAAGAGAGAGTAAACTTATGGTGCTAACTTTCTATATAAGTCTTACTCAAATTCATAAAGAAAAAATTGACTTAAAAAGTATTTAACAACATTGAACACACTATTTTAGATAATATTTCAAGTTTGCAAAACTTGCAAAACGTTTATGGTAAAATACAACTCTCCATCGGAACTAAATGCTTTTAAAAGGCAAGACAAGATAAGGAGAGAATCTTAATGTACAGTACACATGCTTTGCATGCTGCAGGCCTACATTCAACCTCTGGTACCGTAGGGTACTTCATGAACCTCCAGAAGCAACACTTGAGCACAGAGGTAGATGTAACTCCCAAGCATTGTTGTGTGTGAATCTCCAAAAAGCAAATAAAAGTGGAGGGTGAAATGCAAGTGTATAATTTTTAACAAAGTGCTTTAGGTCTCATATGATATTAAGCTCTAAGCTTTACATATAAATAATACATAGGGATTGCTATGTTATGTAATATGAGTATATACCTACATGCAACAATTTTTGTTACTTTATTTTTCAAAAAAGAAACATTAAATAGTAAAACATTTAAGAGTTCAGTGTTACAGTTTAGTGTTTTTTTGGTTGTCATTAAAGCATCATAAAAATAATTCTCTTGTTAGATTTTATTGTTCTAAAATGGCATGCTGCTGAATGCTTTCCTATTTTTCATTGATGTTAATTTGATTATTATTTATTTCATAATAATTACACGTTTTCTGGAAAGCTGATTTCTCCCAGATCTATCAGTTACAATATTCACTTACAAAAATTATTTTGTATTTAGTATAAATAGATAACTAATGAATTGTGTTCTAAGCGAAAATCTTTCTAATCAACTAAAACAAGAGAAAATATTTATGACCTGCACATAAATGTTAAATAATTTCGATGATCCTACAGGTCTTTCTTTCTTTAAAAGATCATTTCAAAAATTGTATGGTAACTGTCCTGTTACTTTCTTAAAAATGGCAGAGATTTTCTTTTCGCACTTGACCACATATGAATATATATTTTTTATTTAGAGTAAATGTTACGTTAAGGTCATATGGCAGGATTAGCATATGATTTTTATACAGTCCTCTTAGTTTTTCATCCTTTATTAACAGTCATCTTTGGCTCTATTTCTCCTCTAATTGGAACATCATCTAGCCTTGGCAGTTGAACTATTCAATAGAACGATTAAATTTTTCTGACTGCTCTGAGCTGAATTGACCTGTTTTGACCTGTTTGTCACTGATCGTAACCTGACAGGCGAGAGCAGCCTGCAACGATTATGGCTTTCTGAGATGAATCTGACGCCAAGTTCTTTTGCTACAGCTCGTCACATGAGGAGACTGGGGCCTCTCACACTCTCTATGGCCATGGAGTTTGCAAATGGCCAGGCTGTGAAAGCATTTGTGAAGATTTTGGACAGTTTTTAAAGTAGGTATTTAACTTTTTTTCAGGGGAGGGAGGAGATTGTCTGGGAGTTTTCAGGCACATTGTTATAAACAAAAGAAAGCTGAAGAAAATAAAGGTCCATCATAAGTCACACTTGGAGTTTTCTAAGTGTTTCAACAAGTGGCTTAACAAAGTCAGGCTTAGAAATTTCACCCTTAATCTTTACCTTCTCAGGAAAAGTGTTTAATAAAGCATTCAATAAAGGTTTCTTAATGAATGAAAGATATTAGCCTCCTATTAATTACCGTGGCATTATAATCAGGAGACAGATTTGCAGAACTCATTTAACTTTCAAGTTTCTATTAAAATTATTCAAGTAAAATTATGTGAGGAGTCATATGATACATATACATTTTTCAGAAACATATTTTACAAATTCATCTTTTCATTGCAGAAATTATATTCCTCTTGTAAATTATATTTAATATGTAGAGTTAACCCAAGGTTTAAATAAAGAAAGTGAATAATAGTCAACATTAAAACTATTCTATCTTTGCTGTTATCTGTTGTCTTCAGAATCATAAACATGCTGGACTGTATGTCTGTCTGATTATATCCTCTCTAGCTCGAAAATATGTGTGTATTCTTAATTTTTTCATGCAGTAATTTTTTTTAACTGTTACAAGGTTATTTTTCAAATGAAAGCATGTATCTTTCATGAAATATTTTCCAGAGTACAAGAGATCTAAACAGAGAGTTACAGATAGGTTTATGGAGATGAGTAACTTCACAGGCTGAGACTCTTATGTTGTCATGGAGCAGCTAACAGGGTGAATGAACTGTTTCATGCTTCATCAACAATTAAGTTAATTAGCTCATTTGAAATGGCACTGCTTTGTTGCCAGGCTGTTGGCAGAAACATCAAAAAGATGTGTTTACAAATGGTAGACTACAGGGTACAGAGCAAAAGCACCTTAAAAACCAGGCACAAGTCTTCAGTAATTCCATTATACCTTTATAACGAAATTAGAATAAGTCTCCCATAAGAATTTTTAAACTTTTCTCATTTCTGACCAAACATTTTGCTTCATAAAATATTACGGTTTTTGTATGTGTCCATAAATGAAAATTTGCACTCTTGTTGTAGCAACAACAATTGTAAGCTATGGTACTGTTGGATATTAAGCTAATTTAGAATATTCTAAGCAAAGAACACTTAATATTTTATATAACTTTACTGGTGTTCCTTTCTAAGAAAAAGAAAATACGTTTGTTTATCTTCCCACTACTGCTTTTGCATTTTTATTAGAATATATTAATTTTTATTAGTGTGGCACAATTTTCCTATTGTTTAATAATTTTAGAGGACTATTGCTATTTCTAAAATATGGCCAGTTAAACCACAAGGCTAGACCAATCACCTTATGTTTTATTCTTCTTGTTTTTTTAACAGAATTCAAAATAATTGTTTAAGGCCCAGGAACTAGCCAAAGGAACAGTGTGGCCACATTTTGCATGCAAGATACCCAGGTTCACTCCCTAGAACTTGATGGTCTACTAAACATCAATGTTCATGAACCCTAAGCTTAGAGATGAGAGTAACCCTTGTAAACTAGTGTGTATAACCCAAAAAGCAAAACCAAAATTCATAGATTTAAATTCAGTGTGATTTCATGTATAGCACATGGAAGAGATCATATTTTTAACTTCAAATATTTCTATATTTTATTACTAACAAATAGAAGAGTTTGAATCCCTCGACTCCTTTTTGTATTTTTGCTAGTGTTTTGAAAAACTAAAGAAGTTATAATTTTAAAAGCATTTTCTTTCAATTAAATATCAACTGTGTTTCCAAAGACTGACCATTTTTCCAAGCCATTAACTTTATAAGGTTGACAGAACTAATGACAGTAGATTTTAAGGCCCTTTTTTAAGTCCATTTTATTATGATGTACTTTAGATTCTCTAATTCAAAGACAAAGGTCTGTGATGAATTCTGATAATAGAGCTAATGGCAGTATACTCTACTAAAATGAAATATTAATTATTGATACTTCCATATTTGGATTTTCTCAAAATGTGTGGAAATTTGTCTAGCAGCAAAATATTTATTCAATTAATTTGTTCCTGTTAATTAGAAAAAGATATCTGTATAGAAAGTGAAATTTAGAAAAACGAATTATCTAGAAGAATTGCTTTCATAATGATGGCGAGACTAGCAATCTTTTTTATACAGTTAGACTACTCAAAAAATCCATGAAAGGTTTCAGGTCTCAGTTTTCTTATTTATACATTTTCTTGAAATCTTATGTTCAGTGTTATGAAGATTTGTTTTAGAAAAATTTGTTCTAAAACTTCTAGAAAACTTTGTTCTAAGACCTCGTTATAAAAAAAAACTGTTATTTTTATTTCTGGTATTCTAGAAATATGTTAATAACTTGGGCTTTAATTTGGTAATGAGTAACTTAACCATTGTTTTAAAATTTAGGCTACATATGTTAAATATCAAAGAAAAGTATAAAGTGCATTATGTCTCAAATTCCCTTTCTCAAATTACATTCCAAACAGAATGTAGATTTCCTCAGTTTTTGCCTAGCACTAAATGGAAAGCCAACAGAGGATAGCTGTGTTCAGGCTAAAATAAGTGTTTAGGAAATATTTTTGAATTTTAGTATGAAGTAGGTGTTGACAGAAACTAACCGCTCCTCTGATCGCTAATTGAGGATCTTCCTAGATTGCTAAAAGCATTTAATACTAGTTCTTCATTATTATCCATAAATGTCAAAGTGAAATAACATCTGGCGAAACTTTAATGCACTTAGTTTGTCTGCAAAATTAAATATCATTCCACTGAATCCAAATAAGCTTGACTGTAGGTGGGTTGGGTTGCACTGAGAGCTTAAGCTGAACAGTTGAAACTAGAACACTGCAGTTAGCATGCAAGTGTTCTAGAACCTGCATAGGCAAATGCTTGCAAACTGACATTGATGCAGCCACAACAATAGATAAATTCTCCATGAAGAATTATTAGTGTCCATAAAAATACTAACCTTTGAAAAAAAGCCGATGGAAATAAATGAATTAAGTTTTATTACAAAACTATGTTTTTAAAGATTTGACACTGCCCTGTGAGAAAAAGGTCATGGAAGCCGTAGTTTATTTAATGGAATGTGGTTTTTTTTTCCTCCTATTTTCTTGTTGCTGACTATTCTAGAAATTCTGACCATTCTAGAAATTAGGCTCTCACTTAGTGAGTATTGTCTATTTCTTTGTTTTTGCCTAGGCAGACTGGCTACAAAATTATGACCTCAAAAGAGGCATTCTTTGAACTTGTCAGAATGTTGTTTCTTTTGGTGACAGTGCCCCCATCTTTCAAAACTAAGGCATCTCACATAATCAGCTAAATGAATAGTGACAGCTAACATTTTGTATTTAAACTCCTGTCAGTGTTTAAACATAAAAAGCTTGATGCAAAATAAATCAAACACCAGTGATATGCAAGTGAAACATTTTGTTAAAACAGTCTGACATACTTGGATTTAAATCTGATCCCTTTTTAGCTTATAAAATGCTATAACTTTAAATGAATCTGAAAAATATGGAGGTCAAAATTGAATTGTTAATCTGGGGTATGCATAATTGAAGTTACCACGTGCACTCATAACCTTAAAATCTTTGTTAAGGAGAATTTTGCACTATGTAAGTTAGAAGGAAGCTTTCCTACTTTTTGTATTAATGAAATGCTTGCTTAATTATTTTTAGGAAGAAATTTGCCTATTCACGTTTTTTTCTTTTTCATGCCACCTACCTAGCACATGGATTCAATACAGTTTTGAAAGAACGTCAGTCGACCACATCATTTATTCCATTTTGAAAACAAAATCAATATACCTATAAAGTGACCCATAAATTAGAACTGGCTCATACAATGTTTGTTCAGTGCTGCCTTTCTGAAGGCACCCTTTGCATTTTTTCTTCACCTCTCTGTTTGAACTGCAGTCTCGGTAAGAGGCTCATTAGGAGACATTAGGGACTGGAGCTAACCAGAATTCCAGAGCTTGCTTTGCTCTTATTAATGCATAGTAGAGTAGAATGCATTTAAATATTTCATAGGCATTCAGTAATTTGTGTGTAATCGCCTTGTTAGCAGACCAGTAGAAGTAGAACAGGCCTGTGAAATGGTGTTAGTGATTGCATGGGTAATTTACAGACCTTTGCCATCAGAAAGAGTATTATTGTTGGCTAGTATGAAGCTGTGAAATAGAACTAGCAATAAGTAAAAAAGCGAAACTTAATAAAGGTTTTATAACAAGCATCTTCAGAAATAACAACCCCACTTGGTCCTTTTGAAGCAGCTGTAATTTATGACATAGGCAATATATCAAATGCATAAGATAGTATTATGGAGCATTCAAATGAAAAGGGTATTTGCAACATTAGTTCCAACTTCCTGCAAGGGACATGATTAAATGATTAATGAAATGTCCCTTTGCATATGCATTTTGAAACAGCAATTAGGCACTGACTGAGAAAATCTACCAATCCTCTCATTTTTCAGTATTATCTCATTCTTGATTTATAAATCATAAAGAATTTTAGAACAGCAATATGTAGTACCTGAGATAGTTATAAAAACATAAAAGAGAATAATTTGGACACAAAAATAGTCATAAATACATAAATTCATAATTTAATGTTAATACTCAACCTATTTATTTAGTCTTATTGCATTGTATTTATATCCGACACTATTTCTGTACTTTGATTGGCATAATTAAGTAGGGGGAATGAATAGGCACTATTATTTTACATATCACTGGTAAACAATAGCGAGGAAAGGAGAAGGGAGATGTGGCAGAGGTATGTATGTGTTTTTCAAGTTCTCAGTAATCCACTGGAGGCTGTTCTATAAATGATCATTGAAGGGCTGCAAGCTAGCCTATAATTACAGGAAAGAAAGTGGCAGCTCTGGCATTTCATAACTATGTGTCCTCGAAAAGTGCTTTGTGAGTTTGTCACCAATGATAATTTAGATAGAGGCTCATTACTGAACATCACAACACTTTAAAAACCTTTCGCCTTCATACAGGAGAATAAAGGACTATTTTAATGGCAAGGTTCTTTTGTGTTCTCCTGAAAAATTCAATCAAGACAAAACCTCATTGACTATTATTGTAGTCTACAGTCTCTACTCTAATAAAAGCTGCATAGATAAATTGAATAGGTCTCTAAGGCCCACATATATAATGCAAACATTTTGTACTTTTTTCAGTTCTCTAAATATGGGATACTGATTATCACTAGAAGTAAACAAGTGCAAAAAAATTCATTTTTAAAAAAGCAGTTTAGTGCAAAATAAACATTATGTTGAATATATCTATTCTTGTCAAACTGTATAGTCTACTTATCTTACTCCATTTATATCGTAATCTCTGCTCTTTGCCAAAGCATTTTTAAAAAATATGCATCATCATGAAATAAATGAATATGAGTTTATACATTTTCAAATTTTCATAAAAAAACAGCTTTCGAGAATGTAGCAGTGTTATTCTTCAAAAATTTAACTATTATACCACACGGATAAATATTTGTCTCATTGTGCATTAAAATTTAGAGTAAACCTGAAGAGTAATGCCCTGTTAATCAGAAATTAGTGACATTTAACATCATAAGTTGATCTCTACTTTATTATAACACCCTATGCCTCCATTCCAGAAACTGATCTTAAGTCCTCATTACAGATATGTTCCAACAAAATCGAACAGTGCTGAGCTTAGGGCAGACAGATACAGTGAAAGCGCCTTTCCTGCACTCTAAGCAGACACCTCAAACTTGACCTGATTTACTTCCCTATTTTAGTCCATGATTTCTGTTCAACCAAGAATGGCAATTGCATCACGATACATGAAGGTTTTGCTGTTAGGATCAGTGAGGGGGTATTGGAACAAACTGATTTAATTTATTGGGATTTGGCACAGAATGGAAGAGAGGTTTATAACTGTTGATTCTACATCTTTTAGAAGTACTTGCATAAGTTCTTTCTTAGAAACATCATTTTAATTCTTATGTATGTCAATCCCTATATATTTTCTTCTTTCATTATTTCAGGAAACATAGGTAACAATTGTCCAGTTTATCACTTCACTTCAATGCACTGATGAAAATATAGCTTAAACTCATAGTTTCATTGATGCCTTGGTAAAAATCTTAATATAAGTAATATTAAATTTTATTTAGTTTTAATTTAAGGACCAATAAATATTATATATTAAAAGTTAGTTAATTTTGTTGAATAGTTTCATATTTACTGAAGATGTTGTTCTTTCAAATTACTTTTAGTGTATTAACAGATCACTACTAAAAGATTTTTTGAAGCATAATAATAATGGCTAAGCATAATCAAGATTACATTAAGATAATGAGACTGTCTTATTTATCATGACTTTCATATAACTTTAAGATGTCTCCCATGTAGGACACTAGACATGAATTGTTAATCATATGATTATCAAAATCTTCAATGCACTTTGTATATTAGTAACAGCAAGTAACCATTCTTTGATGTATAGATAATTCCTTAGGTTGAAAATTTTTCATCTTTACCTAATTCACATTACATACTATAAAAATAAGACCACTTACTCAATAATATTGTAGTAACTACAGATTGTTTTTACCAAAATGGAATAGAGATTGCCTTTGTTCTCTTTGAAATACTTTGGTTTATATATTTATAAGGCACCCCTTTAAAAAAATGGCCCAAGTATATGAAACACATCTAGTTATTTCTACTATTATTTTGTAAGTGGTTTGGAGGAAATATTTTTGCAAAGCTGGTAAGTTTAGCAAGAATGCCATTTTCTGCCATCTGAACAGTCTCTGTAGTATATAAATTATTCCCACTAAACACATAAGTACATAATACTTAAAAAATTTTTTTCTGTACTGTTTCACATGATTCTTTATTCCCTCCACAGGGGAAATTTTAGTGTAAGCGGAGGGTGTTTAAGTAGAGCATATACCATCGCTAAAGATTCCGCTTTCTGTTTTGTGTTTGTTCAGGCACCTTAACAATGAGCATGCATTGGATGACCGAAGCACTGCCCAGTGTCGAGTGCAAATGCAGGTGGTACAACAGTTAGAAATACAGGTTTGTCAAATGCTCACTCAAGGGAGACTCTGATCAGATGTCTGGTGTGTTAAATCGAGTACTGGAAAGATTCTCAGTCTTTTAATACACAACTAATAGACACTCATGGAATTTATATGATTTATAATGATGGCAATAATTCATAACTTGGGGCATATAACTCTAGCTTAATGTGCATATCAATTGGACTTACATAACCCTAGGCTACTCAGTATATGTGGTTATATCATCCCCCAAATAAAATCTTGATATTTACCTAGTAGGGAATAAACCAAACTTCCTAATTGGACTTGAATTTATTGCAGATTGATTTTACATGTGTTAATCTGATTATTTCCCCCATAAAATATTATAGCAAGATGTCTTTATAATATCCTGCCTATAATGTAATAAATTGAAAAATATCTTTTTCCTTTTTACTTCTAGTGTATCTTTAAATACTATAAAAATTCATAATACTTGTCTTCCCGAGAGTAATAGCAAATTATTTATGACAGCTGTGTTGTATCAAATGCTTCAAGTTTAAAAATTCTGTTAATATTGAAATAGTATTTAACAAAAAATAAATAGAACTTACAAAAATTATCAAAAGGCAATCATAACTCTAAATATAATTCTTGCTATGTTTTTATTAATCCTTTAAGGCTTCCTGTAATATTATTTTAGCTTAAAGATTATCTGTCTTCTCAACCAGACCTTTACTTTGCTTCATTTAGTTGAATGCATCATTTATTTTTTCCATAATTTCCTGCATTTCTTAAGTTTTATGTTGTTGTCCTTTTCCAGAGAGCTACTCAATTTTTTTTTATTTACACAATAATCAAGAACACAGAGAAAGCATGACCACTGCTATAGCTTGAAGTTTCTCTATTGACTGTTTACCATTTAGAAAAGGCAGGGTAAAAACATAAGAGGTTGGCTGATGATACAGTCTGCAGTTTGACCAATTATGCCTCTTTTTTTCCCCCTACTTTGTCTGACTGATGGAAAAGTAAGGTCCTTCAGTTGTAATGAGACCCAGTGCAAGTGTAGATGCCGACTCCGTGGCAGAGTTCAGCGTTTCACACTGCCTGGTCTCTGTCACTCTATTGAATTAGATTGATGATGGCAGATTGCAGGGGGCACTAACTGGACCTCAGTGGGAATGCATGAAGTGTGTAGACAATCCTGGCAGGCACTTCGCTTTGAGAACCCTTCACCCCTTCACAGCTGTTGGCACTAGTCCATTGCTAACAGTGTCCACAGGACTTTAAAGAGACACCATGGGCCTTCTAATTTATGGTTTCAGTAACTTGTTACTGTCGAGGCAACTGTGACCTCAATTCTCTTATTGACAAAAAGATGAAGTGTTATTTGTTTTCTGTGACCTTTGAACATAAGGAAAGCTATAAAAGTTTTTTCCCCCTCCATAGCTAAAGTTGCATTTCCTCTCAGATAAGTTCCTACTGACACAGACTTTTATATGCAGGAATCATTACTCTGAGACAAGCTCAATGATAAGATGTATCTCAGCGATAAAATAGCTGTATCAGTCATTTCTAAAATGCTTCTGATCTCACTCTTTCTTAACAGCTTTCTAAAGAACGAGAACGTCTTCAAGCAATGATGACCCACTTGCACATGCGACCCTCAGAGCCCAAACCATCTCCCAAACCTGTAAGTGCATATTGCTTTATAAACAGTAAATAGCTCTACCGATGTAACAGACTAAGAAAATGAACAATTCAGTGACAGTTAGAAAACAATGAGTGTGATGAAAAATATGGCAATAAAATGAAAGTAAAATGCAATCGCTTGTCAAATTGTATGTTTCTTTTAAAGTAATGCTATCTTTTACAAAATCTATCCAATCTACACCATGGGTGACACTAAACAAAGTACACCTCTCAGTGCACAAATCACTGCCTTGAGGCTGAAGCCAGAGAGAATATCTTTCTGTGATAGGTTTACAGATATTAAAAGGAAGGCTACTTTGAGCAACCTGCAAAGCAGTAACAATATGAATCATAAATGGAAAGGTATGTGATATCCTGAAGAGAACTTAGATCAATCATAAAATACATATAAATAGATTTTTATCAAATATTTTGTCCAGAAATGTCATAGTATTTTTATAGCCAATTCTGCCCTATTTCTTTGGTTGTTATTTCAGTTAAGATGTGTTTCACATGTTGATGTTTTACTCTATAGGACACGTAGTGTTAATTTAGAGAGCTTATGAGAAAGAAAAATGGGTGATGATAGAAAATAAAAACTGCAGTTTCCCTCAAAAATATGTAAGAGATGTAAGCACAGCCTAATAATGTAGTCAGATACACAGACTGTTGAAAAGAATATGCTTTATCTCACTCAGCTAATGTTTGCACAGAAACTTAGAGTAATCAACTGGGTAACTCTAGTTTAATGAAAGTTTGTGGGGATACTTTTTAATAAGACCCCTGTATAGCCTGATGATTTGTGATTGCCAGCCTCTACCACCATGTCTTTTGGTTTTAAAAAAATCATTTGGTTTTGTAGTAGTGAAAGAAGAGAATGAACCATATTGTATGATTTTTCTCCTTGTGTTTCTGCTATCAATCATCAATTAATATTCAAATTTTACTCCTTTTAAAATTCTGTGAAACTGCTTCTTTCTACTGAGATATTAGAGGGATTTTTGTGCTTTATTTAAAAGTCGGATACTATAAACAGATTTCTATTAGGAAAAAGGGAGAAATGTATCTTTTTGAATCTTACATAATTCTTTTTTAACTCTAGAATGTCTGAGTTTTTAATTTTAAAAATTAACTTTTGAGAGTCTTTTTGATCCTGTATTTATGACTTTTCTTTTCAATAAGCTTTTTTCCCTCATTGCTTCTATAGTATAATGTAGATAATCACAAGACAGAATAATTGTCTCATAAATCCATCAGGAATCTGCAGCTTGTTCTTTTCCAATTAATTATTCAATCAGTAAATTTTTTAAAACTCCAGCAGCATGGTTACATCTACACTAATAAAGAATTTTCAGCCTATAATCCAAAACAGAACCTGAATGAATAATGTAATTGAAGTATTACATTACATAAACCACACATGAAAGAATTGCTAATTGCGTTTGATGGTGGGCAATTAATACAGAATCTTAGATGAGCGATTTAAAATGAAACCACAGTTTAAAGTTCCCTTTGGAACTAGTGATATCTGAAGTAGGGAACAGCACTACTGGCCTCGAATTGGTCTAAAAAAAGAGTGGTCAATACTCACACCCCTCAAAAAAACCCTAAAATTTATACACTGTACAAAAGAAGCTTCAAAATTGATATGATAGTAGAGATTTATGGTCTCATGTGCAGTGGCTCAGTTGAAACGGCCCACACATTTGATAAATATTAATAGCATGAATTTATTACCAAGGAGAAATGAGCTCTGTTGGTTCATCACTGCACCCTTAACAGCTATCAGTACATGAACACAAGGTGCAACCGCACTGTCTATTATATGACCCCATTTACTCTCTGAATGGTACTTCATTAAATGGTACCTTTTGGCCATGCTATGGATGGATGAAAATCAAAGTTATCAAGGCTGTGAGTCCTGAATAATGAGTTTCACCCAACCTTGACTATATTCAGATGAGCTGAGGTGGCTAAGTGCTCATCTTGGCTTTTACATGCTTCCCTTTAGTTAATAATAAATTCTATTTTATCAGTTTGTGATTGCACGCCTACAAACATGGTATGCTTATTATTGCAGGATGGCAGAATAAGTTACCGTAACATTGTAAACATGAATAGTCTGCATAGAAAAAGATGTGTTTCTCCAGTTTTGATAAGTTTTGCCGTGTTCACAAAATGTACAGAGCCTGGTCAAGTATGCATCAAGATAGATATTTCATTGATTTGGTATGTTGGTATTTTTCTGGCTTCTGAATGTGCCATTTTATTTGGCTTACAATTGAAAAGTGAATATGTAACCATTCCGCTGAATGTTTTTTTTTTAAAACTCAAGTATGGACAAAGTATTTTTCTTCCAAATTTTACCCCGTAGGAATATAGTGCTGATGACAAGGTTTAAATTCTGGTGATTTTTTTTTTTTAAAAACTCCCTTTGCAGAGTTGCCCTCAGAGATGCACAGGCATCTCCCTGCATTTCTCAAACTATGCAGAGGTACTTTTGTACTTCCTGGAGAAGCTTACACCAGTGCCTTTGTAAATGTATTAAATGCAGCGTTTAGTAGCATTATCTCAGCTTTTATTTTATGTACGTAACAAAGAATTCCCAGCCCCGTCTGCTGGCTTAGAGTACGAACAGAATAACAGTTTGTGGTTTATTGGGAGCAGATGCACTTGGGGATGCCTTCAGGGTGCCAGTCGTTATTATTAGACTGCTAATGTGCTGCTTCTGGCTGCTGCCCAAGAAAGAAGAACAATTAGCTGGCATATGTTAATTTTTGTTTCCCTAACAAATCTCTCTACTGACTAAATGTGTAAAACAAATCCACAAAGAAAGATCAATCAATGCTGTACACATCATTTTCTCCCCATTAAAAAAAGGTTTATCTTAAGAAGTGTATTTGGGATTTGAAAAGGCAGGTGTTGCTAAATTATATACAAAAAGCTGAATATTCTCCATTTAGCCACTCAGCACTTCCTTCAGAGCGAGAGGCAGAACAGTTAGAACTTGTTTCCTTGCTTGGTCCTATAGAAGACTCCATAAAAATGAATAGAGCTGTAGATTACCTCTCGTGAATACCATTTAAGTGTATGGCAGAAATCATTTTATGTGCTGCCCTGCATAAAAATTTTGCTAATTGGATGCTATTTATGACAAAAAATGTGTGGTAAATATGACAGAGGTGATACGAGTTTTTTGATAATGAAGAACAGGGCCTTTTGGAGGGAAAGGAATGAAGGCCGCCCTGTTAAACAGCTTGCATACATTCTCACCTTTTTCCTTTTTTTCTACCCTGACACCCACTTTCCAGGGTACATCAGCATTAAGTGACACTGTAATCATAAATTGAAAATGATACTTCCAGAGGAATTGGCAAACTTGACATTTCATTATATTTGTTAACACATGCCACAAATGATTGTTAGTGAGGAAATTCCATTTCCCTCTCTCCATCTCCAATCAGATTTAATTTGAAAATTTTCAGCCTCCTCCGGCTAATTTGCAATTAAGACAATTTTGTTTGAATATGTAGTAATGTCATTACCATTCCACCAAATTAGCAAGGAGACTAAAGGTCAGTGTAAAATTTTCCAGCTGGCTGGAGCTTCTCAGCTGAGATTTGGGACTATGGGAGAAAAAAAAAATTCTGGCAGCAACAGAATAGCAACTTACTTTAAGTCCCATTGGTTGAAAACATTGCATCCTTCCTGATTGCTGTTGTTGTTGCTTCCTGGGGGCTAAACCTGTTTAACAACAGGGGCAGTCAATAATCACCAACTGGCTCTTATTTAAGGAAATATACTTTCGCTGAAGTCTGGTAGGACAAGAAGGAGTTCGTCCTAAGTAACATTGCAGTAGATTATTAGATAACCTCTAACAGCATCCTCTAATTAGAGTTCTTATGATACAATTTCATCCTGTAATTAGTTGAGATTGGCTGCTTCCTTTTTGCAGCTTATTAGTGGCAACACAGCTGTAGAAGTGAATCCACTCTCATTTGTCAAACCTTTTTAAGTCTTTTTCTCTTGTCTCTACCTTTTTCCTGCCCTTCTCTTGGGCCTTTGCAGCTTAATCTGGTGTCTAGTGTCACCATGTCGAAGAACATGTTGGAGACATCCCCACAGAGCTTACCTCAAACCCCTACCACACCAACGGCCCCAGTCACCCCGATTACCCAGGGACCCTCAGTAATCACCCCAGCCAGTGTACCTAATGTGGGAGCAATACGAAGGCGACATTCAGACAAATACAACATTCCCATGTCATCAGGTAGGATATGAATGCTCAGTAGAGCTCTTTTACTTTGGGAGAGGAAAACTATAGCTGAAGCAACTGTACATGAGCCATTCCAGAGCCCATGGAAACTCAAGTCATGATTTATGGACTGATAATTGTTTTATTCCTGGTAAATGCGGATAGGGGCGATTCCCTAAGCACATCATGATGAATTGTTCTGAATGGTGGTTCAGGAAAGAAAGCTCTCCCCATTAGAGACGTTGAGAGATGTGTTGTCAGGGTAGCACATATTATCACCTCAATTCAATGAGATCCTTTGATCTCCAAGGGAAAACTAGAGCAATACTACATCTGCGAGCAGTGCTGTATGAGACAAGCCATTTAAAAGGACATATATGAAGCACTGGTTGCTTTTTGCCAGGCAGTTTCGGGCTTTACATCAATCAGTGTTTATCGAAGAGCTGCCTAAGTGAAATGCCATCGCAGCTCCTCACGATTATACATGACTTTGCTTAAGATGTGGATGAGAGGCAAAAAAAAAAAAGAAGTTTGCATGAAACAAACATTTATGGTCTTTCCCTCCCTCACCCTTTTCCCTTCTTCCCCACAACCCATTCCTTTCCCCTGCCCAGGGGCATCTGGATAATCACAATCACACATTGTAACTATTATTAGCCCAGAGCCCCACCACCCCCCCCTTTTTTTTTTTTACAAAAAGTGAAGTTATTTTCAACATGGGCACTTGTGAGGGTTTTGCGTTTCCTTTGTTTGATGGCCACAGAGGCCTAGAGATGAAACTGTTGTTCTCTAAGAAGTATTAGATGAGAAAAGCAAAGATTATGGCAGGGGGGCAGAAGTCCATGTAAGAACATGCCAAAAAAGCACCCACTTTAAAGAGAACCCTGGCTGTTGGAAAAATCCTCAGGCCAGCTGGTCGAACGGTTCTTGAAGTACTGTGAACAACTAAGGGATGCTTCATTTGCACTTCACGTCAGAAATGGCCTTTTCCATATAATTCAATTCCACTGTCATGCTTTGTGCTTTCACTAGTCAGTGGCTTCCTCACTGAATCATTTCACCAATACTGGGGGAAAATATGAAAAATCAATTATGGATCATGTGAAATATTAGCAGAATTAACACCTCGCTTTTATTTTTATAGAGATTGCCCCGAACTACGAATTTTATAAAAATGCAGACGTCAGACCTCCATTTACTTATGCAACTCTCATAAGGCAGGTAAGTAGAAGGAAATTTAACTTTGCCTGATTAAAT